TCTGGCTGCCGCTGCACAGCCAGAGGACTGACAACTTCTGCTCTTCAACATCTGCGTCCTCTGTAGTTATCTCTGGGCCAGTGGGGCAAACAGGTTGAAATGGCTCCAGTTTGAATTAGTCATGCAGGGAACACAAACAGAGGCATCAAAATGTCCTTCGAAAACTGAGTTCCCACACAAGATGAAAGGGAGACAGAACAGCTGTGAAACAGTTTGTACAAGCATAACTAATGAAGTTTTTGCATTACAAATATGAGCCAGGAACAAGTCATTATTTTTCAGGGTAGCTTCTAGTCTTCACGTCTACTTACCGCCATGCAGACTGTCAGTGGAAGAGCACGCTCTGGCAGAAACTGTAAGGATATCCATCTTGGATGTCCTGTCCAGACTTACCAACAACCCCTCTCTGAACAGCCACATCTACTTCCAGCCCACCAGCAACAGACCCCAGCCTCTGCGCTAGCATTTGCCCACCAAATGCCAGTCCCCAAAAGGAGAATGTAGCTTGGAGGTGGGTACTTTGCGTCCAGGAGGAGAATGAAGGAAACCTGAGATTCACATCAGTGTCTGAAAAGTGATGAGGGGCTTCTTGTTAGGAAAAGAAGAGTCAGTCAGTGCAGGGCTGCAGATCTGGGACTGAAAGCGGACAGGTAGGAGAAATATTCACCACGCTGACAGGGAAATTGGTCCCTACATGGAAAACAAATCTGCCCGGGAATCAATCAGATGTGGTCATGCCTGACTGGAGCTGACGTTTCTAATCTTTTTTTTTGTATTAGATTATCATTGCTATTCCTTCTCTGGACTTTATCTGTGTTTTGCTTTAGTTCCGTGACTTTTGCCATTACACAAACTCAATTTTTTTTTTTGGGGTCTTATGCTCAGCAAATTGTGCAACACGCTTCACTGGAACCACGAAGCTCCAAACTAATGAGACGGGCAAGAACATAAAACAGATGAGGACAGGAGAAACTCTATTGTGTTCACTTCAAGACGTGTCATTAGAGCCACTCTACTAAAAGGTGACCTAGAACTGCAGTTTAGGACCAAACTGTTTTCCATATTTATAAAGGAAAAGCATTTATAAAGCCGGTGCCAAGATCTTGAATGTATTGACTCGTTTTCTATTGCCTTTCTGGGCGTGGTTGAAATTTCTGCCATTAAAAGTGCTTTTTATTTGGAGGCGGTGGGGGGAGAAGTCTCTTTCTTCACTTTTAACACCAAGCCAAAAATACCGAAGAGAAGGCTCCAGGGACATCTTATGGTGGCCTTCCAGTACCTAAAGGGGGCCTACAGGAGAGCTGGGGAAAGACTTTTTACTAGGGCATGTAGTGATAGGACGAGGGGGAATGGCTATAAACTGGAAGAGGGCAGGTTTAGATTAAACATTAGGAAGCAGTTTTTCACTTTAAGGGTGGTGAGGCACTGGAACAGGTTGCCCAGAGAGGTTGTTGAGGCCCCATCCCTGGAGGTGTTCAAGGCCAGGCTGGACGTGGCCTTGCGCAACCTGGTCTAGTGGGAGGTGTCCCTGCCCATGGCAGGGAGGTTAGAACTCGATGATCTTCAAGGTCCTTTCCAATGATAGATCATCTATTCTATGATACCAAACCTGCTCCTGGTCTCCGTTGTTATCCAGTCCAAAAATAGTTACCTCTCTCTCCCCCAAAGTGGGTATATATATTCTATGCATGCTAAAATGCCAAAATAATCAGAAGCCAATTTTTAAGTACTAAAAAAACAGTTTTACAGGTATGCTATGTTCTACTGAAGGGAGAAAACCCAAGTATTAACACTAAGAAAATACTTCAGAGGAGTCAGCAGACGAGCACAGCAGGCTGGGGCAGCTGCAAAGCCAAGACCAGGCATGGAGCTTCAGAGAACTTGCCAATTCTGGCTGCTCGCTCATCTTTGTCAAGTGATCGCCCCTCCCATGGGCTGCAAAGCCAGAGAACTTGCCAATTCTGGCTGCTCACTCGTCTTTGTCAAGTGATCGCCCCTCCCATGTCCTAATCAGTCCTTCTTCACTGTAGCATCACTCGGTGCTTTTGTTTTCTGTCTCACTTCACTTCTTGCGTTCTCCATTATTTAAGTTAATGCTTCCTTACTAGCCCAATTCCTTCCACAAAAGTAAACACAAGAATAACGTCGTGGAAGTAGCACATAGTGCTGGTGTTGCCAGCTATAAAAGGCTGGCATGTACGTTTATGCATATGAACAGAGCAGTACTTGTGTGGAGGCAAATTGTTTTTTTATCAGATCTACCGCTACAGCTGGGAAAATAAGTTTTTGAGCGTACAGGTCCCTTTCTGATTTAATACGTCACTAAAGCTTAGTTGGCGTACGTTACCGAGAAATACTCGGTGTATTTGTTTGCAATACCTCTGCCCACCCCCTGGGTCCGTCCACTCTGGCAATGGGGTCTGTGCAAGGCTTATCGCCGCGGAGCCCGACTCTGGGCCAGAACTGCAGTACTGCACGTTAACGGGCATCACTAACAAGGAATGAGCGGTGCCGGCGTTCCTGGGTGGAAAGCTGTTCCAATCCGACCAACTGGCCATGTGTTGTGTTGGAACAAGCACAAAACTGATTCTAACACATTTTTTAGCTGCATGGAAAAAAAAAAGACAAAGTTGTTTTCTTGTCATTGACTGCTTCTCACACAAGTCCTTCTGCCAAGGACTTGAAACCCGACTCGTAGCCTTTTTGTAAGCAGTTCCTGTTAAGCAAGTTACAAACATAAAAGTGCAGAAAAAATAGAACAAGTAGACAGGACAGAAAAGTTGAATGAGCATTGGCTCTTCTTATTTTAATGAAGAAATATTTCAAGTTAATATCAGTGCATATTTAGAAATAGCATGTGGTATTCCCAACGTCAAATACATCAGCAAATTACAGTTTCAAAACTTTATAAATTAATGGCGAGGGAAAAAAAATAATTAAGATTAACATAAAGAATAAGGTTCAAAATAAACATCCTGTTTGTTTGTAGCACTGCGTCAATTATATTCCTGGTACTTAGACAGCAAGAGAGATCCAGTATTTCGTGGTAATTAGGCTCTCCAAAATAGCAGTTATTCTTCTACAAATGAATTAAGCAGTTTGCATTTATTTTTGATGTATAATTAAATGTTATTCTTAGCTGTTACAAAGAAATTTAGTCATGTCAGAGTAAAATTTCATTCCATGATTGAAAAATCACGCTAACTGAGGAACGCTGCCTTCTGGCTATACCCACTGGAAGCAGTCAGCTGAGAATAGGAAGAACTACGTGTGAGCACATTTGGCTGTTACATAAAACAGTTGGGGTTTTTTTCTGGTTTCACAGCCTCATAACAATACTGTTTTTCAACATTGTTCCCAGTCATTGTTTTTAAAATGGTTCATCAACATATCCTGAATCAATCACCGATATAAATAACTCCAGTGACAAAATCCATTATGGAAGGACACAGAACTGCAAACTGAACGCTGTACCGAACGATTTTAAGGTGGAACTGTAATTACTCTATAAAATACTGTAAAAAAAAAAACCAAAAACCTACACAGTGAAAGCAGTATCTTTAATTAACTGGCAATGGTGGAATCTGAAAAACTGAGTTATAGTTTTAAGAGACATTTAACTCACAATGGACTCTAATGCAAGATGAATTGTACTGAAGCTAAAGAGATGCACATTTAAAGCTTGCAAGTGTGATACAAAAATATTCTCTAATTCTTTCATTTTGATACAGGGAATCTAATTCCCTAATGGAAGAAGATAAAGTACATCCTCTCTCCTACCCCATCGCTGTGCATATAGACTATTCCCTTGACATCAGGAAATGGTGTTTCCCCAACGAAAATACCAGCCACGGGAATCGCAGACTTTCTGGTAGAAAGGGTTTGCTGATTTTGCTTTTTGAAGTGTGTTTTCGAGCAGGTGAAATACTGACAGGATATGCATTTCTTTCACTACGCATCTATTGTGCAAATCGTACACATCAACCCTGTGACTTCAATCCAAGTGCAGTCTCCATCGCCTAGAACGATTCGAGAATCTAGTGTGATATTACAGCACGGAGATGAGTGCCAGATTACGAAACATCAGACTAAATCAGATTAGTAGGAAAAGGCACATGCTTCGGATTTAGCAGGAACATCTGAAGGTTCCTCGTTACCATACCCTTACGCTCCCAAACGACAGTTTGCTTCCAGAAGTTCCAGAGCTAACAGGAAACTTCTGAGCATTCACCGCTGCTTATGGCACGTACACACGAAAGGTCTGTGAGCTCAGCTGAAACTCTTGAGGCGCTAGGGATAACGCAGACACAAGGTAGGCTACAGTCTGGTTAGGCCAGAAACAAAAACTTAACATTTCATCATTATACTGCATACGTTCCTTTTATGCACAGCTACAGGGTGCGCAAAATAAGCTGGTGGCTCAGTAAAATTTAATGTTTTGCATATGTAAAATAACCAGCTAATACTGCAATATAATCAAAAATCATGCACTAGATAAACAGAGCTTCTTCCCCATGAACAGTAGTTCTCAGGAACATTTTATTCTGCTTCAGGTAATGTCTCATGATTTGGAGCTTGCGTAGTCCCTTTTAAAGAACACGGGATTTAGCTAAAACTGAAAAGCAAAATTAAACAAAAAAAAAAGAAAAAAGTTTTGATTTTAGTTGCGAGACAGCTGGGAATGGTGCATTGCAGCAGCTCAGTTGCATCTAAGAGTAAAGAAAATTCAACATGAATATCAGAAGAATAAATATATACCCTAAATTAATCTCTGTAAATACATTCACCGGTCCACTTAAGACACCCTTATGCATAACTCGTACTTCATCGAATCTGCATTTAGAGATGGATATTAGTTCATGGGGAAAGCAATTTATCATATGACTTGGTTTATCTGTCATTATTCCAGCAAAAATCAGTAGCAAATTTGAAAATCTACATTTATTTTCCCCAGACCAACCACACAGAGGCTTAAGTCACAAATTCTATTATTTCCGATGTTCGATCAATAAGGCTTTATTTACACTTTTTTACTATAAAGTCAGGAAAAAGTTTGGTGCAATGTGCTAGAAAAGACTGCACATTTCACTGATTGGAGACTAACATCTGCTTATGGTTTAATGCTAACCCACAGGCAGCCAATTAAAGTCCCATATATCCATGTTTTTACATAAAGTTTCCTTCCAGATTCTGTCAGAAGCATACTAGCAGTCAGGCCACCTAAAAACAGCAAAGATGGCAAAGTTTTCTTGAGGCTTAGTTTGGAATGAACACTTTTTCCAGGGAACTTATTTCTTCTTTTAGAATCCTTTGCATCATAAAACTCTATTAGTAACCTAAAAGCAGACAAAAGGAGATAGTCAAAGTGATGCATTAGTGTAAGAAGCTTTAAGCAACTTACTTTCATCCAATAACTGCTTCTAATCACATGTTATTTAACAAATGATTTAACAATATGTAGCAGCTTATCTGTAACAAGTTTAAGCAATCGGTATGCCTTAAGAATATGAAGCATTCAAAGTAACGTTGCACATCTGGGTACTCAGCCTGAACCCTTGGGAGCAACAAAAGCAGGTGTTCCAGGTTTTCCAACACTGAATATACAAGTTGGAAAGAACCCTCATCATTCAGCCTTTAGCAAATAAGCCCAGAGTACTGGGAAATATCATAGGACAAAATACACACAGTTATTGAACACTGAAGGCAGGGTGGTATTATCTTCATGAAATAACATGCAAGAGTAAAATGCTACACTATAGGTTTAGTAGTATTTTTTTTTTCTCCTAGTTTTGAAAACCAGTAATAAATGGATTCAAAAATTCTGACGTTTTGTTTCAAGCATCTCTAAATTTTCCCTACGGACTGCTTTTGTCCCAGGAAAGACGTTCCAGTTGACAGGAGTCTACAATGAGACACAGATGATCAGGGTTCAGTTTTGCTGGTCTTCACCAGAAGACTACTTGTGGGCCACTGGACAGTCTTTTATTTTACTTGTCTATAAAATGAAATTCAGACTTTCTTCCCTCTCAAAAGTGAAGACAGGAAAAATAACTTAGCAATCCTGAACTTCCGCGACACTTTAGAAATGGTGCCATGTTTACAGACAGGCGTGTTAACTTGTACATGGATTCAAAGATCACAGGACAAATTAATCAATTTTTTACTTCCATGGAGCGTAAGACTGGCAGAACAACTTTAAAGCAGGACATATCTGAAGAACCAGGGAAATTTTAACTCATAGAAACGTATTCAGGGATTTAGAAGGTAAAGAGAATTAGCTCCCTTAAGTTGGACTTCAGATGTGGCAAATTAAACCACCATCTCTCAAACAATACTTAAATCTCACATTTAGGCACAAGGTCCCCCAGGATCTGTTGTACATGTTTGCTAGGCACCTTATCTGGAGATGCCGTAGGGAGCCAGGCACTTTATTTCTGCCATGATTCAAAGATGGACAGATAAAACTTCTTCACCTTATTTCCCCAGTGAAGGTAGGGAACTCAGGGTTACTTGTGTTACTATCCAGTCGCTGTCTGATGCAAGATGCATAAACAATTTTGGTAGAAGAGATTAGATCAAGACCTGTCCTTTTCTAACTCTAATTACAAGGCTATAATCAAACTCCTTTTGCTTGCTTGTCTACCTCGGGCATCTTACTGAGTTATGCACAGCCGTGGAATGTTTCAAGAAGACAAATGCAGAGTATTCAGATGAATATGAGTCTTGCCTGAAACATGGATCCACAGCCCTTCAGTCTAAGGAAGGTCTAAAATGCAGGAATCTCAATCTCCTGAACAAAGCTTTAACCACAAAGGTATTATACCAAATATGCACAGGAGTACCAACACCACCTCTATTCAGAGAGCCCTACTGAAATCATGACTACATCTGCTAATATAAAAGAAGGATGACAGTTTATTTAAAGAGGAAGTACTACATATTGCTACTCACTTATCCTTTATTTCAAAACGTTCATGAAGCCACCTTCTCATATACATCTGCTCTTCCGGAATGTCCTTCAGTTCAATTCGATCAATGAAAATATGAACTCTTGGGCATTCCTTGCAAAGAAACTCTAAAAAGAGAGCAAAAGAACAGGACTGAGTTATAGAAACACTGTAGGGCATTTATTTGTCTAAAATATGCTGCAAACCTGACCTCATAGCTGTAAGTGCCTTGGAAGCATAACTTCAATTTTCAAAAGCCTCTCTTCTTTATGTTCAGATCCTGAGCGCCTCACTGAACTCAGAAGCCATCTGGCCTACATGTTTTTGAAAAAGTGGCCCATTATCAAATGCAGCGTGGAAACATTGTCCTAAAATGCACCCTGCTAACTGTAAAATGCTGTGCTTGAAAAATGTTACACTTCTACGTCAGCAGCAATCTACTCGTTCTGTAGTGTGGGATGCAATAACTTCAATGTCATCTAATCATCCAGCCTGCAATTTTGAATTAAGTTAGTAATACTCTTTGCTTGTCCTTTTAAAAATCTGTATCTTGTTTGCTCCTGGATGACAAAATCTGAATTATAGTGATTTCCCAAAGAATCTCCAGGAGGAAGTGGGCTTCAGCTTAAGTAATAACCTATAATTAAAAAGTGCAATAGGGTAAAAGACTCAGAACAAAATACTGCTTTCCATTTTGCATCCCTTCATTTTTCTTCTGTCATACAGCATTACAAAGCTCAAGACAGCCCTATTGCAATTCCCCCTCCCCCATTTCCTCAATTTGCTCCTAGAAAAATTTAGCAAGCAAGCATTAAGCCAGTTGCAAACAAAACTCCATTAGTCAAATAGCCTTGTGGGATTTCTTACAACTAACAAGTGGTAAAAATACTGTGTATGGGATGAAAAACACACCTGTATTTGTGTATTAGTGATCATTTGCATTTATCAGTACCAAGGGGTATTGTGGTAACCATAGCATCCCTGTACAAAGAGGTGCATGATGTGAGGATGGAAGTCCTTGGGAATCTGGACAATCTTTATATTTTGAGAAGGGACCAGAAGTGTCTTCCTACAATACAGATGGGCAACAAATTTAACACAGACTGGGTGGTCCTTTTAGGTTGTTGACATTTTTTGGACAGCAGTGCAGATGTACAGGAGACTTTGACCCATAACTGTTAGGGGTATCTCGAGGAATGACTGTGCAAAATAATTGTCACTGCATGTACATCTTTATTATTGTCTGCCAAGCAGATATCCCCCTATTTGTTTTTCTTCTTTACAGGATTATTTATTTTTAAGGACTTTGCTGTTAAAGCAATCCTTATCATACACTAGAAATTGCCTTAAAGAATTTTAAAAGCCTGTTCACGCAAATGCGTTTGCGTGCTTGTAGAGGGGGAGGGAAGGAGAAGAGATAAAGACATCAGTAAAGCCTTACAGCATTTTGATGCAGAAGTTTGTACGGTGCTGTGTACAGTTTTGTCTACTCCTCAGGCAGATTGCACCCTTCACTGAACCACACCGTAGTGTAAAGGGAGCAATATGTCCCACACATCACCAACGGGAGAAATGGCTGAGGGCTCTAACCACAAACAAGTCCACCTCTTAGCTGTGGAGCAGCAAGCACAACCTTTGCTAAAAGCTTTCTGGTAAAACCATCTCCTCGCTACGGCTATTAGATGGTAGGCAAGTTGGAGTCCAGAATGATGGTAGGTATGGACGCTGTCTTCCGGTTGATGTGCAATGCTTTCACTAACCACAAAGATATCAGTGTTCGTGTATCTGAAAGCGGGTTTTTCCTCTTGCCCTTAATGGGAAGAAAGGATTTTCCTGGTCTGTTTCTCTGAAGATACTATCCAGGCCACTCTATGAAGGTCATTCACTATACGAGCACCTAAAAGCATACTATGAATATTTTAAGATGACAGACGTATTATCCATATCTTAAATGCTTATAATGTTCACTGATGTACAAATCCTCTTTTTGAGTGGCATTACCTATTAAGGGGAGCATTCTAAAAATATGCAAAACTGTATCTAGAAAACAAATGCCTGGAAACCAGATGATACGGTCTTTTTTGTACTAGACTCCTACAAAAAGCATCTATGTTATGCATATCCAGCTAGGGCTGAAGATTTAGCTTTAAAAGGTATTTGAAACGTTCTGTGCATTGTACAGGGTATGTTTCTTTTGTTTCATAGCACATAGGTTATTCTGTGTAAACCTCTCTTTCCTGACGTTATTTATCATCTCAGTTATAAATTATTAAGGAAAATCATAAATCAAGCAAGTTAGATGAGATAGCATTATTAATAGTTAAAAGGTATTTTTAAAACTAATGTTATGCTGTTTAAAAAAGACATTGATATTTGGTCATTTAAAGACAGCAACAGAGTACATTATCAATCATAAGCTCTAGTTAACAAAACAGGAATAAAGCATAAGTATTTCAAAAGAAACACCTTCCCCCACCAAAGCTAAAATATAGCAACTCTACAAATCTGCTTAAAAAGCAAAAAACCCTCCACAAATATCTAAGTGGTGCTGCTGGCTTTCTACCTTATGCCCAAGTTCCAATGCAAGTTGAGTCTTACTACTTCCCACACTGGTTGTCTTCAACCAGTCAAAACTGAGTCTCCATATGTGAAGATCCTACAACTTCTGTCTTAATTTCCCACCTTTGTAAATCTCAATGCTCTTCCCCACAGCCCTGCTCTCCCTTGCAGTTTGGGACTCAGTAGAGCCTTGCCGAAGACTGTGTGATCTGCAATTGCAGGTGCTCCCCTACATAGGACCATGATTTCCACCCATCGATCCAAGGCCATTTTATCCATAGCCTGGGCATCCAGGACATCTGCAGGTGACACTAATGTCTGCAATCAAGCTAGTCAGGGAATGTGACTAGTTTTTAATTATCCAATTCATGTCAGGGCTTAATGTGACTAATCCTTCTTCTTTTTTTTTTTTTTTTGATGCGCAATGTCAATGCAATCACATAAGAACACCAGTGGGTAAGAACAAAACATTGAGAGGTTGTTTTTGAGAAGAAACAGCTGGATTTTATCGCAACAACCTCTAAAGGTTTGTGGTGGTCCTATGACCCCTAATTTCACATTAGCTTAAGTCCCAAAAGACTTGTGTAATTAAGCTAAGAAACAAAATCTTATTGAAGCAATTTATTATGTGCAAATTACATCCAACTTCAGGGACACTAGCCCTTAAGGCCAACATCTGACTGGCTTTTCAGATCCCTAAACTTGCCAGAGTTTGTTATAATTAACAGCAGGAACAAGCAAGCCTGAACTTTCCTTCAAAAGACAAAACACAAGTGCAAATCATGCATTGGAATCAAACATTATATTGGGGACAGCATTAGTCAATCAAGAACCGAGTACCATTTGGGTTAAATGAACACTAACAACTTGTGTGGGAGCCAAGAGGACTGACTTTTGTGTGGGAGATAATTTCCTAATAAAACTTTCTATCCGAGTAAATAACAGATACAAGTGCAGAATGTTTATAATGCTTCTAGTGACCAACCATGGCAGAAGGAAGGAATTGAAAAGAATAAGGTGGATCGAGCATTTTTGTTCTTAAACTGTGGCACTGTAGCCCTCCTTCTGTGGGACAGGATTCACACTGACACAGGACTGAAGGATTCAGTGCAGAACTACGACTAATGAAGAGGCTGCAACAGCCTTCAGGAAAGCAATCGGACCCACAGAGTTTTTAATGGCAAACAAATGTTTTGGGAGGGTGTTTTGCTTGCTGGGGCTTCCACAAAATTCTACCAGTTTTCAACCTCTTGCCTTCAAAACCCCATTAATTCCCTTTTGAATTACCAGCATTATCAGGGAAAGTGAGGGAAGGAGAGAAGCTCCAAAGCATAGACATACCCGTAACTGAGAAGGGCCACACAAATAGCCTCAGACCACCTTCCCCTTAATGCTACCATACAAGTTCATTCCACCACTCCACATTATTTGCCTTGCCCCTTAAGAAAGTTGTGACAGTGGCATTAGGCTTAAACAGATATTCCAGTTTTCAATTACTAATGAAGCCTATTTTTATATGCACTTTAAATACAACGGCAATAAAGTAGCTCAGATTTCAACTTCCTACATCAGCTCTTTTACGGGAACGTAATTATTGTCAAAGTCCTTCAAAATTAAGAAAGGACAAACTGAAGCCTGACATAGTCGTGTCCACCTAGAACACCCCCAATTCTCTCCTGTTTTAACAGATTTCAATAATGTTTGTGATAAACAAAGTGGTATCACAGTAAAATGAAATCTGAAAAAGGTGTATTTATTCTAAGTAGCTAGTATTTCAAAAGTGTGAGAATACATCTCTTCAGTAACAGAACATTGTATGGCGTGGTGTATACAGTTTTACAGGCAAAACCATGATCGCAAAGACATTCCTCTCTCAATTGTAGATGCTTTCTCCACTTTTAAAATTTTCAGTAGTCTGGACTTAAGCATTCAGTTACCAAAGCAGTTCTATCTCCTCCTCTCAAAGGAAGAAATCCCATCTCTCCACTTTCATATACTTCATACACCAAATTAACAGTCCATCGGCAAAACAAACACAAATTTAAGTGTTGTGTTGTTTCTCTGCTTCACGCTTTCCATCATCTCAAGCTGAGCTGACAGGAAACTATTTCACAGCTTGCTCTAACAAAATAAAGCAGTGGTACGGCAAAGCGGCACTAGACGGGAAAGCAAACATCCAGGGCACAGCGAAGGTTGTTTAGATGGGTTCACCTGGGGAGTGGTGAAGGAGTGGGCAGCACCAGCACCTGCTGGTACAGGGAAGCATGGCGTGGATGTTCTGCAGGCTACACTGAAGTTTGCAGCCAGAAGACAAGCCTGGGACCTGAGGAATAGCAGTCTCCGAAATACTGCCAATCCCCTGTGCAAGGACTGAGACGCACACAGAGATCAGAGCCTCCACACGTGCACGAGGGGCACAGCACAGGGAGTAAACACCTTAGGAGCTGGGGGACCTTTTGAGACCAGAGAAATGGGATGCACCTGAATCATTATTAAGCCAGGGTGCTAGCCATGAAAACTGAAAAAGTTAGAGAGCATTTCAACTGGCAGGCAGGGAAAGCCGAAGGTC